TAAAACTTTTACTATAGAATTTCGCTTTAAAATGTTTTGCATATAAAATTATAAATATTATGAATCCAGAACAAATTCCCGAAAATTATCAAAATCAAACCATTTGTGAAATATGTAGAAAAGAAATATCTCCCCAATTTCCCGAACCGATAACCATTTTAACATGTAAACATATGTTCCACCAAAAATGTCTTAAACCACATTGTCCACTTTGTCAAGATCCCGAAGAACATGACCATTGTGATGATAGCGTTGGTAGTTCTGGAAGCGGTTATGGTAATGATGCCGGTAATGGCATTGGTACTGACCCTCATCCTCCTGGCAGTTCTGAAGTTGTTGATAACAATGAGCAAGATGATTATTTCAGTTTTGGTAATGGTTTAATTAATGATGCTGGGAATTATAATGACTATAATGATAATGATGGTAAAAATAATGACAATAACAATATCAACAATAATGGCAATAATGGCAATTATAACAATAACAATTATAACAATAATAATGACAATAATGGTAATAATGATAATAGCAGTAATAATAATAATAATAATATCAATAATAACAATAATAGCATTGGTGGTTCTATTAAACGAAAAAAAAGAGCATCTCGTCGGGTTAATAATAATAATAATAATAATAACAATAATAGTGGCAATAGCGGTAATATCGTCAATGTTGGCGAAGATAATAATAGTAACAACAATAACAATGATAATAATAATGTAATATCATCATCATCATCGCCAGCAATAGCAACAACAACAACAACACCATCACATAATTATAATCTTCGCCATAAAAGAAAAAGTAAATACGATCGTGAACCTGTAACTAAAAAACGTCGTAAAAATAAATCATCATCATCATCTCAACCACAACAACCATCACCATCACGACAACAACCATCACCATCACGACAGCAACCATCACCATCACGACAACCATTATACGATAATTTTGATTTTTTCGAAGATAATAATTATGGCAGTGGTGATGATGATAACAATAATAACAATAACAATAACAATTCATGTATGGGATGTCCCGTACATTGTCCATAATCCATTTTTTATATTTTTATCCTGTATTTTATTAATAAAGATTTCGGTTAGAGGAACGTACAATGTAACATGTGTTATATATATTAATCGTGATCAGCAAGTTCCGACCATTGGACAGGATATCACATGTTTATTAATAAAGATTTCGGCTACGTGCTAACATGAATTATTTTTTCGTGTTATGTAGGTATATATAACTAATAGAAATAGAAATTCTGAAATTTGCGTTCCAAATTGGAACAGAAACGTAGTTTTTTTTAACTTGATAAATTAAATAAATCGTGCTTTATATAAAAATTATTATCAAACATGACATCAGAGCTTGAATTATTGAAACAGCGAGTTACTACACTCGAAGCAGAAAACACCAAGTTAAAACAGATCATAGAAGAAATCGCTAATCTTAGAATCGAAAACACAAAATTAAAACAAATAATAAAACAAAATCGAACTACTATTATTGCTTTACAGCCTCCAGTCTCTCCGGTCTTATCAGTAACTCCACAAAAGCCTACTCTATCAATTAATAGTCGCGATATCACTGACTCTGTAAATCTAGAACAGGCACAAAGTGATACACCCGAGAAAATTATTTCTCCCGAACAGATAGAGAACACATCTGATAACGCGTCTAATTCTTATATATATCAACCCATAATCATAGAGACTAAATCGTTGGAAGATAAGGAAGTCGATGAATTCCTGGATTCGAAAGATAAGGAAAGGGTTAGTAATATGATAAGGGAAAGAAACAAGGAAAAAAAGTTTCGGGGCTTATCTCCAGTAGAATCAGAAAAAACCGTGAATAAAATTCACGATCAAAATCTTAACGAATCCTCTAAACCATCTATTAATTCTGATTCTACAGATCCATTTGAATATAATGATGATCTTTCTCAACCTGACAAAAACCAGATTGTAGAACAAGATTTAAAACAAGAACTATCTGCCTTTCCAACTTCCAGAAAAAATATAACTAGTAATCGGAACTTGCTGGATGATGAAAATCAACATAATCAGGTTACGGCACAAAGCATAGTTTGTATATTTCGAAAAGCAATTCAATCTGGTCGGGAAGAAATCTTGCATTGGTGTCGCTATATAGAAAGGTATGATAAAAGGGTTAATGAGATTATTTCCGATGGTAAAGTTAAGATTAAAACAGCAAAGAGTTTGGTATATAAAGAAGTTAAACAGCTACTTCCTGACACTACGGATGCGAATCTGCGACAGAAAACTCTTAGAGCTAGAAAAATCTATAATCTTTTTAATGCCATAGGAATAGAAAAAATCGAGCAAGTTACGTATAGCGCAAATGCTATTTCAAACCTTACTAACACTCAAATTCAGAATATTATAAATCATGTACTATCAGCGGAGCTGGCACGGCCAAAAACCGTGAATAAAATTCACGATCGGAATAATTCCGAAGTAAGTGAATCAACCACAACCCCTGTCCCACCATCTCCATCATCTCATAACTCTTTACCGGAGACCGAGGTAAGTACACTTATAGTATCTCACCCCGAAGAGGCTTCATTGGAAAGTGTATCAGCTAATAATATATCTCCAGAAACTAAGATCCCATCCACGCCTCAGATAAGTATACAAACTCATGACCGTGCTTACTTTCGTAACAAATTATTGGAGCAGTATCCCAATTTATATAAAGAATATAGTGATGGAAATGATGATTATTATGGTATTAATGCTGAATCATTATGCCCTTTATGTAAGTTAGAGCATGAGAACGAAGAAGGTATAGAAGGCGAATATAAAGATGGATGTTACTATATTAAATGTGAAGTATCTGAAATCGGTATTGTCATGCCGAAATAATTGTATAATTTTATCTGTCTACTATTATACAATAAATATTAATGTAAGAAGCGGATCTATTGAAATAGTATATTTATTTAATAGTGGGGCTAACGTCAGGCACTTCATGCTATTTCTCCCGAAATAAGACACATTTTTTTGATACCTGATACGAGAAATTAAATTGCTTTGAAATTATATAAATGACAAAATGGATACACAAGCCAGGTCTGATAAAGTATTAACCCCTGAATATCTGGATTGGTATTCCAAATTAACTGATTTGCCAGCCACCATATCAGATAAACTTCATTCTAAGTTGTATACAAGGTATAAGAAAAAAACTGGACTCGATCCTTGGATAAACTCTGAAGTTTCTGAATCTCCACAAATCGATAATGCTGATAATCATCTTTCACAGGATTGTGTTATCAAAATTTCTAAGTTTCCGGAAGAGAAAGATGTGATTATTGAAGCAGTGCAAAAACGATTTCCTTTCTTGAGATATATTAAATCAAATGCATGGTACCGAGATGTTTTTAAATATACTAACTCAGAAGCTAAATGCCCGATATGTAAAGAGGTACATACACGTTTAGGTATATGGGGTGATTGGAGTTGTCTAGGTAAAAATGATCACTATTTTCTTAACTGTCCTTTTCGCATTGATCAAAAGAAAATTATAATTGCCACACAGAGCTTACCGGAAACTCAAGTAAGAGTACCAAACAAAATCAGTAACTCGTCAACTCGTCCAAATAAAACCCGCCTTTATCAATATGCCATCGAACATGAAATAGATCCCGAGAAATTTTCGATCATTACTGAGGCTGAGAAAAAAAGATGGGATAGAGAATGTTTTCATGAGGACTTGGAAAGGGATATACGGTTCTATCGCGGTGGAATAGAGAGGAAGGAAGATTCTAGAAAATATCGCAAATTTTTAACAGATCGGGAAAGACTGGTCGGTGAAGAATTATTACGTCGCGGTATACTAAAAAGTGGTTTAAGAACTACATGGCTTGATGATCTGATGAAAGAATGGGAAGAAATCTATACTCAATTCGTACAAATTTTTAACTAGATACAATGCATAAATCATTTTCCCACGATCACATGCGGTTACTCTCTATGCATGTAACAAACAATTATTTTATAATAGATAATGACACATTTCACAAACCCGATATGGGGGAATACTTTATTTAGAATTTAATGTGAATAATAAATTTTTCACGATAGGATCGAACGTGAATACCCACGACACGCGTGTCACACTGGCGCAGCATGTGGCGCAGTAATTCACTTTGCATCTTTATTCCCTCTCAAACATTTTACAATCACAAAATCTATGTCACCTTGGTTTAAGTTTGTAATAGATCGCAACGAAAATGATCTAATTAATGCTATTTTTTGTTTCGCCAATTTCTCATCACCGTTAACAATAGTAGTGAAAAGTTTATATATTTTCCGAGCCCTTTCCATTCTCTTCCGCAAAGCACCATCGCTTACTTCAGAAATTTGGTTTCTAACATCATCAAAAACCAGTGCATTGGATGCTTCTTTACCGTTATCCTTTTTATACTCTTTATATCGTTTATATAGGGCATCACCAAGATCAAAATAACTACTGATAACATCTCGGTTCGTAACCTCATTTTTAGATTCAGCGTAATCGATTTTTCTAAAAAAGTATAGAAAATTAGTGCTATCCCCTCCTGGTACATTCACTTCGGCAATTTCGACAATTTGTGTGGGATGATATTTAGACAACAATTCATCAATAAGTTTTTTCAGGTTCACCGATTTTTCTCTATCAACCGGTTTTACCTCCTTCTTTGCTTTCTTACTAGGCGATTTATCTACCATCGTAGATGTCTCTTCACTAGTAACTTCAATAGGTCTTTTTTGGGCCCCCTCCGTTATATCGGCACCTATTCCCTTCGAATTAACTTTATCTTTATTCTCTCCGTTATCTACATCCGGCATCTCCTCATCAATAATTTTCTGAGATTGGATAGTAAGTTGTTTTCCCATCTTCCCAACTATTGACGAAGTACTGGATTGAGAATCGAGCTCAGTGAACTCCTCAAGAATTTCAACGCTTTTTCCACACTTGAGGGTTGGGCACGTTAGTTGCTTGCTAAGTAAAAGTTTCTTCTCAATACAGATTCTATGATATATGTAGCCACATAATAGCGTTGTAAATGTTTTATTAGGTCGGGCAAAAATCTTCTTATCACATTCTGTGCAGTTGGCCAACTCAGGAAAAGTCTTATTTTTTACCACATCGTCGTTGAAGTTTTTCAGAATATTATATGCGAGGTTTTTAAGATTAGCAGCTGAGACTTTTTCTGTTTTCGACATAATGCTCAGAACCATATAATTTTTCGTTTGCTCACCTTTCATATACCTATATCCCGCTCATATCTCTCGAAATTATTACAAGCCAACTCAAATTGGCATTATGTCCGAAACGGTGCAAAGATTAGTAAATTAGTTCATTCTTAGTGAAATTTATAATCGTCAAAAAAACAGCTCCAATGAGCGACTCTCTGAGTCATGAAAATTAGAAAAAATACCGAATTAATGTATATGTGAGAAATTAGGTCACACAAAAAACATGTGAATCTAATCTGTAAAGTACGTCCAAACACATACAATAAAAATCAGAATATCGTGATCACAGTTTATTATACGATTAATTTATGTCTCGAGGCTACTTTACGCACCTTTGTACAATTATATACCTTGTTCTTATTTCGCTTCTTTTTTGGTTTAGAATGGATAGAGCCGAGGTCTTTAGACTCATGTATCTTTTTTACTGCAACAACGTCGAGTAAAATATCAGAACAATTTGAGGAAGCAAAGCTTCGAGATTCTATCTCATCTAATGCATCGCTATTATCAGTCTCAAATTCTGGTAATTCACGCTTACATTTTGCCTTTCTATCTCTTAGCTCAGACTCGACTGCTTTTAATCTCAAATAAATAAGATTTATATGTAATCCTACTTCATCAATCATAATGGAATCTTTGAGATATTTAAACTCATTTTTCACTTTTCGTTCTGCATAATCATTAAAATTTTCTATCATTTTGATTGGTACTGTGAAATAACTCTGCTAATATATATATACAAAAAATATTCAGCTAAAAAAATCTGATATTAGCACTTATGTACTAGCTCCGCTAATGCAGTTGAAACAAAATTAGTATTTTTTAATTAAGCTTATTCGCATTTTGATAATATCGATCTTTGGCTTGCTTCATAAATGATCCATTAGGTCGATAAAGCCATTTAATTACTGTATGCTGGATAATTTTAACTGAATCTATTTGTTTTCGATATCATAAATGAAATGCTCGCTGAATAGTCAACACTGCTTGTTTTTTAAAATATCGGTAACAATATTGTTGGTGTCTTAAATGGATAACAACTGATCCTTTATACCAATAATGGCATTTAACACATTGTCCATAAGAAATTTGTGGAGAGATATATTTTTTTAACACATTATTAGGCATATAAATATATGAAGGAATAGTATACAATTGATCAAGGAAACTTTGGTTATAGTTTGTCATTATACTATTATATCAAACATGTAGAATTTTTAACTTAGACTTTTTATTTAATAGATAACCAGGCCCAAAGGATGCTTCTACGAGGCATGGAGCTAACCGAAAAAATTAAATATGGCAGATGGGTAGGTCGACTTGCTTTCCTACATTAGGTAAATAAAATTCATTAAACGAAAAATTATCGTGTGATATCACTTTATATAACTCAATAGCGGAGCTAGTGTCAAGACACATAATTAATTATGTATCTGTCTCCAGAGCTTCATATAATTTTGGTCATCAGCTTGCACTAATTTAGACCGCATTCCGTTAGCATATCTCGTGCTGTCATTTTGATTATTGTTCCGTAGCCATGGGCTATACAAAAATATATCTATATCTTGATAAATAATTTTTATTTACTTTATATATTTACTCAATTATTACTTAACATGTCGACCTCTAGTAATATCAAAATTATTAAACAAATCAATGAATATAAAGAAAAGCTAGTTGCAAAAGGAATGTATGACGATAATTTTGAGATTTTATCTCTTGGCGGATTTATTGCTAAACGAATTTTACTTCATGAGCAGGATGTAAGTTATG